AACAACTTCCTAAGTACAAACACAAGAATGACAATCTCCATGAATTGAATAAAAATCCAGTTTGAGATTCAAAGAATGTTACCAAATATGGCAGGCACCTGAACAAGGCTGTGTATAGTGGCTGAAATGTCATTTCTAACAATCAAGTTGTAGACAAAAAATTTGAATATCTGTGTAAAATAAGTTCTTTGTCTTAGAAATTTAAATAGAAATTAGATTGAATAAGTAATGCAATTTAGACAGAGACCTATCTAAAGACTTTAATAGTAGTTATAGTTAGTGTTATCTTGCAGATGCTTGACCAACACTTAGATCTGGAAGACTATTAATTCAAACAAATCACCAAGCAAAGACACAGTAATGATAATCTCCATGAATTGAATAAAGGGTTCAGTGGGAAATTATCAAATTTGGCAGACAACTGGAGACAGGTAGAGCATTTAGTATCTTGAAAGTTGACAACCAAAATGAGGACAATAGTTTAAATAAGTCAGTGTCAAATAATTGTTCTTCAAATAGAAATTAGACAAAGTAATAGAATTCTGAAGAGAAAAATGTATTTAAAGTTTTTAATTGTATTTACAAATAATGAAATTTTGAATTTTTCAATTTTAGGTTGCCAGCGGCAGGTTGTTTTGGTATTCAATGAGTCAAGTGGGAACCAAGTGATTGTCAAAGGGAAGAAAACTTCAGAAAGGTACGTCTTGTTTGTTTATTTCTTTCTCTTTTTTTTTTTTTCTTTTCTTTTTTTTATCATCTGGAATATGAGCATTTTGTTGTTGATTTGATGATACGTCCCTGAAATGAATTTGCCTGTTCTTTTTTTCCCCTCCTTTTCTCTCACACACTTACTTTTCTCTCTCTCACACTTACTTTTCTCTCTCTCTCACGCACGTTTTTTTCTCTCTCTCTCTCACGCACGTTTTTTTCTCTCTCTCTCACGCGTTTTTTTTCTCTCTCTCTCTCACGCTTTTTTTTTTCTCTCTCTCTCACGACGTTTTTTTTCTCTCTCTCTCTCACGTTTTTTTTTTCTCTCTCTCACGCACGTTTTTCTCTCTCTCTCACGCACGTTTTTCTCTCTCTCTCTCACGCACGTTTTTCTCTCTCTCTCTCACGCACGTTTTTTTCTCTCTCTCTCTCACGCACGTTTTTTTCTCTCTCTCTCTCACGCACGTTTTTCTCTCTCTCTCTCACGTTTTTTTTTTCTCTCTCTCTCTCGTTTTTTTTCTCTCTCTCTCTCACGCACGTTTTTTTTCTCTCTCTCTCTCGCACGTTTTTTCTCTCTCTCACGCACGTTTTCTCTCTCTCTCTCCGCACGTTTTTTCTCTCTCTCACGCACGTTTTCTCTCTCTCTCTCACGCATTTTTTCTCTCTCTCTCACGCACGTTTTCTCTCTCTCTCTCACGTTTTTTCTCTCTCTCTCTCTCGCACATTTTCTCTCTCTCTCTCACGCACGTTTTTCTCTCTCTCACGCACGTTTTTCTCTCTCTCTCTCACGCACGTTTTTTCTCTCTCTCTCACGCATTTTTCTCTCTCTCTCTCGCACATTTTCTCTCTCTCTCTCTCACGCACGTTTTCTCTCTCTCTCACGCGTTTTTCTCTCTCTCTCTCACGCACGTTTTCTCTCTCGTTTTCTCTCTCTCTCACGTTTTTTCTCTCTCTCTCACGCACGTTTTTCTCTCTCTCTCTCGCACGTTTTTCTCTCTCTCTCTCGCACGTTTTCTCTCTCTCTCGTTTTTTTTCTCTCTCTCTCTCACGTTTTTTCTCTCTCTCTCGCACGTTTTTCTCTCTCTCTCTCTCGCACTTTTTCTCTCTCTCGCACTTTTTTCTCTCTCTCGCTTTTTCTCTCTCTCGCACTTTTTTCTCTCTCTCGCACTTTTTTCTCTCTCTCACACTTTTCTCTCTCTCTCGCACTTTTTTCTCTCTCTCACACTTTTTTCTCTCTCTCACTTTTCTCTCTCTCTTTTTCTCTCTTTCTCTTTCTCTCTCACACTTTTTTCTCTCTCTCACTTTTTCTCTCTCACTTTTTCTCTCTCACCCTTTTCTCTCTCTCTCCTTTTTCTCTCTCACACTTTTTCTCTCTCTCACTTTTCTCTCTCACTTTTTTTCTCTCACTTTTTTTCTCTTTCCTTTTTTTCTCTCTCTCTCTCACACTTTTTTCTCTCTCTCTCTCACACTTTTTTCTCTCTCTCTCTCACACTTTTTTCTCTCTCTCTCTCTCACTTTTTTCTCTCTCTCTCTCACACTTTTTTCTCTCTCTCTCTCACTTACACTTTTCTCTCTCTCTCTCACACTTTTTTCTCTCTCACACTTTTTCTCTCTCTCACACTTTTTTCTCTCTCTCTCACACTTTTTTTCTCTCTCTCTCTCACTTTTTTCTCTCTCTCTCTCACACTTTTTCTCTCTCTCTCTCTCACACTTTTTCTCTCTCTCTCTCACACTTTTCTCTCTCTCTCTCTCTCACTTTTTTTCTCTCTCTCTCACTCACTTTTTATCTCTCTCTCTCTCACTTTTCTCTCTCTCTCTCACTCACTTTTTATCTCTCTCTCTCTCACTTTTCTCTCTCTCTCACACTTTTCTCTCTCTCTCTCCACTTTTTTTCTCTCTCTCTCTCACTTTTTCTCTCTCTCTCTCTTTTTTTCTCTCTCTCTCACTTTTTTCTCTCTCTCACGCTCCTTTTTTCTCTCTCTCTCTCTCACTTTTTTCTCTCTCTCTCGCTCACTTTTTCTCTCTCTCTCGCTCTTTTTTCTCTCTCTCTCGCTCACTTTTTCTCTCTCTCTCTCGCTCACTTTTTTCTCTCTCTCTCTCGCTCCTTTTTCTCTCTCTCGCTCACTTTTTCTCTCTCTCTCTCGCTCTTTTTCTCTCTCTCGCTCCTTTTTCTCTCTCTCTCGCTCTTTTTTTTCTCTCTCTCTCGCTCACTTTTTCTCTCTCTCTCGCTCACTTTTTCTCTCTCTCTCGCTCACTTTTTCTCTCTCTCGCTCATTTTTTTTCTCTCTCTCTCTAGCTCACTTTTTCTTTCTCTCTCTCTCTCTCTCTCGCTCACTTTTTTCTCTCTCTCTCGCTCACTTTTTTTCTCTCTCTCTCGCTCACTTTTTTCTCTCTCTCTCGCTCTTTTTTTCTCTCTCTCTCTTTCTTTTTTTTCTCTCTCTCTCGCTCACTTTTTCTCTCTCTCTCTGCTCCTTTTTCTCTCTCTCTCTCTCGCTCACTTTTCTCTCTCTCTCTCTCGCTCACTCTCTCTCTCTCTCGCTCACTTTTCTCTCTCTCTCTCTCACTTTTTTCTCTCTCTCTCTCGCTCACTTTTTCTCTCTCTCTCTCTCTCACTTTTTCTCTCTCTCTCTAGCTCTTTTTTTCTCTCTCTCTCTCGCTCACTTTTCTCTCTCTCTCTCTCGCTCACTTTTTTCTCTCTCTCTCTCTCACTTTTTCTCTCTCTCTAAGCTCTTTTTCTCTCTCTCTCTCTCGCTCACTTTTTCTCTCTCTCTCTCTTTCTCTTTTTCTCTCTCTCTTTCTCTCTCTCTTTTCTCTCTCTCTCGCTCACTTTTTCTCTCTCTCTCTCTCACTTTTTCTCTCTCTCTCTCTCTCGCTCACTTTTTCTCTCTCTCTCTCTCGCTCACTCTCTCTCTCTCTCTCTTTTTTTTCTCTCTCTCTCGCTCACCTTTTTTCTCTCTCTCTCGCTCACTTTTTCTCTCTCTCTCTCGCTTTTTTTCTCTCTCTCTCTCTCTCGCTCACTTTTTTCTCTCTCTCTCTCGCTCACTTTTTTCTCTCTCTCTCTCGCTCACTTTTTTCTCTCTCTCTCTCGCTCACTTTTTTCTCTCTCTCTCTCGCTCACTTTTTCTCTCTCTCTCTCGCTCACTTTTTCTCTCTCTCTCTCTCTCTCTTTTTCTCTCTCTCTCTCGCTCACTTTTTCTCTCTCTCTCTCGCTCCACTTTTCTCTCTCTCTCTCTCGCTTTTTTCTCTCTCTCTCTCGCTCACTTTTTCTCTCTCTCTCTCTCTTTTTTCTCTCTCTCTCTCTCACTCTCTTTTTCTCTCTCTCTCTCGCTCACTTTTTTCTCTCTCTCTCTCGCTCACTTTTTTCTCTCTCTCTCTCGCTCACTTTTTTCTCTCTCTCTCTCTCGCTCACTTTTTCTCTCTCTCTCTCTAAGCTCACTTTTTCTCTCTCTCTCTCTCTCTCTCTCACTTTTTTCTCTCTCTCTCTCTCGCTCACTTTTTTCTCTCTCTCTCTCTCTCTCGCTCACTTTTTTCTCTCTCTCTCTCTCACTCACTTTTTTCTCTCTCTCTCGCTCACTTTTTTCTCTCTCTCTCTCTCTCTCGCTCACTTTTTTCTCTCTCTCTCTCTCTCTCGCTCACTTTTTTCTCTCTCTCTCTCTCTCTCGCTCACTTTTTTCTCTCTCTCTCTCTCTCTCGCTCACTTTTTTCTCTCTCTTTTGTCAAGATAGAATCTATTCATAAGATTTGTATTATAAATTTTGATGTGTATGTTTTCTCCATCAGCATAAAAAGCAAAATTGCCATGTTCAAATTTCAGCCTAGCATTTTTGCATTTACATTTTCCTAAGGAATTCTAATTTATATGCAAAATAGGGCCTGTGGAGAGCTATAATTGCCCATGTCCTATTTTTTTTTATTTGTAAATTATAATTATCATCACTTGTATTCCACTGTGACTGATTATTTTCACACACATATATATATATATATATATATATATATATATATATATATATATATATCCTTTAAATTGGGGACTAAAAGCTCAATTGCACTGAAAATTGCTTTGTCCTTGCATTTAAATGGCATTGTACCATTTTTGCTGTGTTTAAGGTAACATACATGTAGAAATTGTTTTGTTATTATAGTAAAGAAATAGTGTTTACACTTGAATATGAATTTTTTTTCTTTATTTCTAGCGAACACACAGAATTGAAACGAAGTTATGACATCATCACTCATATTTCCGAGAGAAATGGTTATCCTATTTTTAATGATCTCAGTACATCACTTAAATGCCTCAATCGAATGGTCAAGCAGGTAATAATTGTTACTACTTCTGTTGTTTGATATTTTTTTTTTTTGTTAAGATAATAGATACTGAATTTGACAACATATAAGGTGCACTTTTTTATTTTTATTTTTTTAGTTTTTACTAAAATATCTTTTAAAATTCCCCTATGTCTTATATGCCATATGTAGGTTTACTTATTACTAATTTTTTCTTGATTTGCCATGCTGAAATTGGGGTGTGTCATATACACCTGTGTATCTTATATACCATCAAATACAGTAATTAACAAAAAATAAATTTCATCTTGATCTTATTTGCTGTCATCAGATGACCTATGACCTATACATTTTTTTTTTTTTTTTTGGGGGGGGGTTCTTGTTACATTTATGCATACTGAGGTAATTTGAGTCTGTAGAATGAGTGTGATTTTGTGAGAAAAATTGTAAGCTTGTGACTATATGATGAAACACTGGTTATTGTATGATCACCAAAGTTACAAAAACATTGAGCCTGGTTAGTACCTAAATGTGTGACTGTTTTTGGAATACCAGATACTATAAGCTTGGATGTACAGTTTGACATTGGAGAGAGCAGAGTTTCAATTCCAGTTGGTTTCATTACATTCACTAATGTACAAATACCCTTGAGAAAGCTCTGAATCCACCAATGCCACACTCCGGCTTGTATCAATAAATCATTATCTCTTAAAAAAAAAAAAATATATATATATTCTTACAATCTAAGAATATATTCTGGCTTTTAATAACTGGCAAAAGGTTGATAAACCATAAAAAATGAATTGGTCAATCGATAGTATTTAGTGGGCTCATGCTAGATGATGCTTTGTCCTGGGTGTAATGACAAACTTCATCTGGCAGCAAGGCCTCTGTTGGGGGAGAATGAACATTTTAAGGAGCATTGAACCACCTCTTAATTGCTGTTGTTCCCAGGTTCATGCTGACCTGGGTGGTAGCAACTGTTAGGGTCCTAGCTATAGGTAAATAGTGAACTCTCAAAACAAAAATCAACAGTACATTTTCATAATAAAATGCTAATGCAACATTAAATATAAAAATACGTCTTTATAGTAAAATTACCAACAAACTATTTTATGATCTACAAACTAGATATATAAAAAAAGAACATATCTTTTACTCTGGAAATATCAAATTATGTACAAAATATCTGTAGTTGAAAGCATAAAATTACATAAAATATTTAGATTTTGACATTAAATAATCCATAGCGGTTGATATGCCGCCAGACAAAATCAACAAACAACCAGATGATGCCAGAATAGTCTTTGTACTTGGTGCCCTTCTGGGGCAAGGTTGGTATGTGAAAAAAACGTTTGACAGGTAAAAATAAAACCACCAAAACAAGATGCAGTAACAGCAGTCTGACGTTGCACATGAGATTGTAAGGTTGATAAGCCAAAAAAAAAAAAAAAAAACAAGAATAAATCACTCCATCAATTCTGAATGATTGTAAAAGCGTTACCATTTTTTTCTTCTGTCTTCAGCAAATCAAAGTTCAGCAATTATCATCATCCGATGGTGCCAGACCTGTAAAATATGGACACTTACGACTTGGGCACACATTACAGTAAGTGATTTCTTTCTTTTCTTTTATTTTTTAATTTTCCTTTTCGTGTTTTGTTAAATTGTCTGAAACTCAATACAAGTGAAAATTAATAACTCTATAATTAGACATAGTTACTCTGAAACTCTATACACATGAAAATTAATAAGGATGCATAGAAAAATCCTTGCTCTGAATTCAATCTTTCCAGGCATGTTTAATTTAGCAGCCACAATTTTGGTTCAAATGCATAATCATTATAAAAGGTTTCAATTGTTAAGGACCCAGTTAGGATATTTTTTAGATATTTTTTAAATTTTAAAATTAAAAATCAGATATTGATTATAGGTTTTTTAAATATTATTTAAAAATAGTACTAAAAATTATTATAAAAGCTGGGATTAATTATAGGTTTTTCGAAAATATAAAATAAAAATCCAAGAGTGTTAATCCAGGATTATAGGATTCTTAAAAATGAATAATTAAAAAAATATCATGGATTATTGGTTTAAAAAGAATAATTACAAAAAAATATCAGGGATTATAGGTTTAAGAAGAATAATTAAAAAAAAATATCTGGGATTATAGGATTTAAAAAAAAAAAATTTTTTATTTTTTTTTTTTTTTTTAATTAAATAAAAAATCTGTTTATTGGTTTCTAAAAATAAATAGATTAAAAGAAAAAAATCTGACACTATAGGTTTCTAAATTTATTACCTTAATTCTCAGAATCCCCAAAATGGGACATTGGACATTATTGGGTTAACAATGGCTTGCTAGATAATCCTCAAGCAATAACAGGTGATCTAAACAGATATTTTCCAAAGATAAGTCTGGCACAGGGCCATAAGATGGCATATTCCTTTAACTACATAGGTCATAGACATGAACATTATGGCTCTCCACAGCTTTCTATCCCAACAATGGATGGAAAGTGTGACACTGAGATCCAAAGACATATTGAGATAGCCAAAGATGCATTCCAAAAGCTAAGCAGAGTATTAAGAGACAGAAAAACTTTGTTAGAAGCAAAGAAAAGAGTACTGAACTATTACATGATATAAGTCCTCCTATATGACAGTGAATGCTGGACAATCACCTTAAAGATGAAGACTTGAAGCATTGGAATTGAAGGGCTTTAGACCTCTCAGCAATGGAATGTGTTGATAGTCAACCAAGGTTGAACAGTGTCTTTAAACAGATTTTTCTCTGACTTTTGAAATAGACATATCTGCTCAATTTTGTCTTCTAATGGAAACAAAGCAATTTTTGAAGAAATGGATATTTTTTAATTTATTAATCTTGTAGTGGATCTAAGAAGGTTGCATGAATGTTTTAAATGTTTTGCTGAAAATGAAACCTGATACAATCACAAACATAAATTTAAATAAAAAATCAAATGGTAACACTATTTAATTACAACAAAAAGGATATGCATGGAACAACAAATAAATTTTTTATATGCAGATATTACAATCTTGTTTTGTAAAGATGTGTGCAAAAGCTTGATCAGAGTATCTTTAAAGAGAAACGTTCTTGTTGCTGGTTTGGAAATGTTTCGTATGTTTGTAATATAGTCTGGAAAATACATATGTGCATGTGTGAATACATTTTCATAAGCATATGACCACACGTGGTCAAGGCGCAAATCCTTTTTTTGTAGCGAGAGAAATCAAGGGAGAGAGAGAACAAACTCATGTCTGATATTTATAATTAATGTAATCACGTGACAGGCTCCTTGAAAAAGTGCGGGGAAAACTTTACTTGGTCACACGATGGAAAAAGACTTGTATGTGGGTGAATTGCAACACCCACTTGTGTGTTTGACCAATTAAAAGTTGAGATTTCTTGAAAATATGTATGAAGCTGGGTAAGCTCTTTGATCCACTTTTTGCACAGATTTGTACAAAATTCAACATTGATAAAAAATTTTTTAAAAAAGTGGTATCGGGATGCTAAAATCTAACAGATTTTATTACTTAAACATCATCTTTAGTGAATACTTGTATTTAGTTATTCAGGCCGATAGACAAAAATATTTATACTGTTTAATAAATAAATAGAGCATCTACTCAAATACAAGTATCCACTAAAAACTAATAAAATCTGTCAAGATTAATAAGTAAAAAATCCATTTCTTTCTTTAGAAATCCCATTGTCTGTTATTATATAAGATAGTTAAATTTCTATACTATTTACATTATTTGGACTATTGTCCTCATCTTTGCCATATTTATTACAACGTTTTGGCCGTTGTATGCTCTGGTCTTCTTCAGGTGGTTGGAATATCAAACTGAACCCTTTATTTCACTCACTGGTGTAGACCGTTTGAGTTCCATGTGCCATGTTTTAATGGACATCAGTTGTTAATTCCCCTCTCCAAGTTCTCCACTGCCTTAACCGGGTATTGAACTCACACTCTTTAGGTCCTGTCACTGGATCTAACTTGAGGACACATGGCACAGTGGGTAAAGACATTAGTTAGATGCAGTGACAGGACCCAAAGAGTGTGAGTTCAATACCTGGTTAAGGCAGTGGAGAACTTGGAGAGGGGAATTAACAAGGAGATAACTGACATCCATTAAACATGGCACATGGAACTTGAACAGTCTACCCCAGTGAGCAAAATAAAGGATTGAGTTCAACATTCCAACCACCTGAAGAAGGCTGGAGCATACAACAGGCGAAACGTTGTAATAAATATGGCATAAAAGATGAGGACAATAATCCGAATAATGTAAATGGTGTACATAATACCTCATCTCGGAAATATAGACATATATTAAATTTCTATATTTACTTTATTTTAATATCTTCAGTTTGGAGGTTGCTTCTTAAACTCTCCCTCTTGCTGAGGACCATACATTCCATGTTCCAATTGAGAGTTAGCCCTTTCTTCATGCTTTCTTTTACTACCTTGTCTAGAGGTACCTACAGTTTTCTTTGTGTCTGCCTACAATACCGTATCATCTGCATATCTCAAGTTGTTGTCTGTGCCCACCAATAATAAATCCAATCAGAACCTGTTTAAATTAGCTTGAACACATAGCCAGAATTGTGTGGAACCCAGGCAGGATCAAATACATTCTTATTGCTTTTTGTGATGTGCTTAAACTTTCATATGGATGTCACACCTGGCACGAAACCCATTCGTTAATATCAAAACTGTCAGCTGTATACAACAATTTTCTAAAATCAATGGTGAAAAAAAGGCTTTGAGCGAGTAAAGTTGGAAGGTCTTGGCAAAGGTCATCCTTCTTCAAACATTGTGGATTGGTGCTACAGAATCACAATGAACTGTACCAGATAACAGAAGCCATATCAGTTGATATGGCTTACACTTACAGACTACCAACAGCAGCAACAAGTAAAATGGATAGCACATGGAACTCTAAGAGAAAATAATGACATAATAAAGATGTTGACACTCCACACTACTTCAAATAGAAGGTTAGGAAGGAAACCCCCATCAATACTGAAGAGTAATAACAGCTACTAGACTTCAGAAACGTGTTTTCCTGAAAACTTGTTTTAAGAGAAAGATTTTATAAATTTCAACTGAAAATGGTACTGGCTACTCTGTCAGTGAATATCAAATGTTTCCTTTCCAAAAGGGGCTAATATTACCATTATCTTTAGCGATGAGAAGAACAGGTACTACACTTTGATTGCAGCCTAATGGCTAAGGAGTGAAGAAAAGCATAACTGGAGTAGCACTGTAGTATCTGTTCTCTTGTAGAGAAACTGCTAATATAACCGTTAATGATAGGGCCATGATACCACTGCTAACACTACCATTAATGATAGGGGCCATGATACCACTGCTAACACTACCATTAATGATAGGGGCATATGATACCACTGCTAACGCTACCATTAATGATAGGGGCATATGATACCACTGCTAACGCTACCATTAATGATAGGGGCATATGATACCACTGCTAACACTACCATTAATGATAGGGGCATATGATACCACTGCTAACACTACCATTAATGATAGGGGCCATGATACCACTGCTAACACTACCATTAATGATAGGGCCATGATACCAAGTACAGAACATTACCTTTGTTGGATTATTCCATTTATCCAGTAGCCTGTTTCTCCCACTTACAATGGACTGTCTCTAAATACAGTCAAGTATCCTGGTTTATTTAATAAAATGTCCAAGTTTTATTAAAAAAATAAATAAATAAAAAAAGTAATAGTAATACAAAAAAATATTGATATTTTCTTGTTGAAAATGTCGCCCCAGGGAGATATTGATAAAGCACTTAATAATTTAATCTGAGAGTCCACAACTTTCTTTTTTTTTTTTTTTTTTTTTTTTTTCTTTTCAGATACTTAATTGATTTTTGCTTCAACTTTTTTTTAACCATTTTCTGAAATGCATTTGTGAATGTGTCGCCAAAATAGAAAGTCTGTTTTCTGTTCAATTCTCACTGGATTTCTTGCAACCAAGAGGAATTCCAGATATTTTATTATGAAAGTATGTGGATATATAATTATATTTATAAGACCACCCGATGATTGCATGAGAACACCTTACACTGTGAGCTGTGGTCAGATACTGTTCACTGTAAATTTAATTGAAATATATTAAAGCTCTGCCATTGAATGATATTGAGCTCTTTTTTTTTTTCCAGTGTGTATCTATAGCAGATCGTTAGGAGTTGGTTATTTTATTCATATTGTGTCCTGTCATGAGTGACTGTGAGGACCCAATATTTTGCACTATTTTGCTTTTAGCAGCAACCTCTTTTGCGAAGTTCCTACTGTTGCCTATGGTATTAAGCACTCTTTTGGTATGCCTGTGAACTTTTAACTTTTTTTTCCTTTTCTTTCTCTTTTCCATTTTTTCCTTTTTCTTTCTCTTTTCCATTTTTTTTCCTTTCCTCCTCTTTTTTTTTTCCTTTCCTCCTCCTTTTTTTTTTCCTTTCCTCCTCCTTTTTTTTTCCTTTCCTCCTTTTTTTTTTCCTTTCCTCCTCCTTTTTTTTCCTTTCCTCCTCCTTTTTTTTTTCCTTTCCTCCTCCTTTTTTTCCTTTCCTCCTCCTTTTTTTTTTCCTTTCCTCCTCCTTTTTTCCTTTCCTCCTCCTTTTTTTCCTTTCCTCCTCCTTTTTTCCTTTTCCTCCTTTTTTTTTCCTTTCCTCCTCCTTTTTTCCTTTCCTCCTCCTTTTTTTTCCTTTTCCTCCTTTTTTTTCCTTTTCCTCCTTTTTTTTTCCTTTCCTCCTTTTTTTTCCTTTCCTCCTTTTTTTTTCCTTTCCTCCTTTTTTTTTCCTTTCCTCCTTTTTTTTTCCTTTCCTCCTTTTTTTTCCTTCCTCCTCTTTTCCTTTCTTTTCCTTTCCTTTCTTTTCCTTTCCTTTCTTTTCCTTTCTTTTCCTTTCCTTTCTTTTCTTTTCCTTTCTTTTCTTTTCCTTTCTTTTCTTTTCCTTTCTTTTCTTTTCCTTTCTTTTCTTTTCCTTTCTTTTCCTTTCTTTTCCTTTCTTTTCCTTTCCTTTCTTTTCCTTTCTTTTCCTTTCCTTTCTTTTCCTTTCTTTTCCTTTCCTTTCCTTTCCTTTCTTTTCTTTTCCTTTCTTTTCTTTTCCTTTCTTTTCTTTTCTTTTCTTTTCTTTTCCTTTCTTTTCTTTTCCTTTCCTTTCTTTCTTTTTCCTTCCAAAAAAAAACCAATTGAATTTACAGCTTTTCCACTTTAACTGGATGGCACCTTCTCTGATGTAGATATACTTATCTATCTTTACAAAACTTTCATTGCCTGTTGTCTGCATATATGTATGTTTTCAAAATGTGATGAAATGACACTCTCATGTTCAATGGTGTGTCAAAACTAGTATAAACATAAAAAAGTTTGAGGATGAATTTTTGTCTTTTGCGTTTGTTCTTTAGTATAGCCTGTATCCCTTTGGAACCAGAATTGCAGTGACCGTGAGAAATCTCCACCAGTCTGTGTGTGTGTATATATATATATATATAATAACTTTTTTTTCCAGTAATTGATTTTCTATTTCTCACTAAATGAGCCATAGTAGCTCAGAATCAGAAATTGGAAAGAAGTTTAAATTCCAGTTGGGTTCGTTATATTCACTTACACACAAATACCCTTGGGAAAGGTATGAATCATCACCTCCTCTGAGATATGAATTAAATAGTAGGACTTGTATCTGAAAGGAAATCATAATTCTCAGTTTTTAATGCAATATTCACTCAAAGAAAGAATGATTCTTACAATCTAAAATGTTTTGATTTTAAATAACCCACAAAGGGTCAATAAGCCATAAAAAAAACAATCAAACCCAAAATGGGCCAGCATAGACAGGCAATAATACAGCAGTGAAAATGATCTAATTTGGCTTTAAATACAAATGATCAATAAACTGTAAAATAAAATAAAATCCCAATTCCTTATTAGTAATCCAGTTTGTTCAAAATATTTTGCCTTCATTAAAAGAAAATTTGCAAGGTGTCTTTTTATATAATCGATTTAAGAGAATGTATGAATTTTTAAAAAATTTGTTTTTACCCCAAACTGAAAAATTAACAAAACCATCTGGTTTTCAAGACAAATAACTAGATTCTATTGTCACTATTTCACTTATTACATCTAAAATAAAAAGAACCACACACTAACCATGCATAACTGGTGATTTATATTGACATAATCAAGCTTCCAACAGCCAGATAATTGTAGTCACTACCAAGACCTACTCAGTAATTTTACACACATTGTTATTCATTTTCTTACTCATGGCAAGGTCCAAGAACTCTCAAGAGTTGTGGCTATCAGATTTCAAATATCTTTTGTGTTCTACTCTCTACAGGTTGATGTTTCCATTCTCCTGTGTACCAAAATAGCTGACTCATTTATAAAGGGGAGATAACCCCAGTAGCTATGGCAACCATATTTACTCAAAAGTCAAGCAAGAAACGACCTTATATTCATGAAGAAATGATAAGGATACAGAAAGGACTTTCAAGCAAGAGGCAAAATGAGGCAACAGCTGAATAAATACTAGTTGAACTATTCTGTCAAATGATGATGGCAATATATGCAGGAGCCCAAAATAATTTAGGACATAAATAAATTGGAAGATTTTATTTGTCAAGTTCATTCTATTTCTATCACAACTTCAAAGATCAATATCTAGAGATGAGCTCATAGGCTGTCATCACAATCTCTCACACACACACACATATATATATATATATATAGGAAGTAAAATCCTACATCAGACACAATAGGCCTACTAAACAAAATTAATCATATATAAACAGTGCCAGAATATGCTATTCTTGTGACTATGGATGTAAGATCACTTTATTCAAACATTAAACACATCAAAGGAATAACCACCCTTAAGGAAGCACTTACTAAAAGAAGAAAAGACCCCCCCACTCACAGAAGTTATAAAACTCATGGAGCATATTCTTACATTGAATACTTTCAACTTCAATGGGGCACACTACCTGCAAGTAAGAGGTTGTGCCATAGGCACAATTGCAGCTCCATCATATGCTACAATCTTCATGGGAGAATTTGAGGAGACCCATATCTATCCTCTCATCAGTAGTGACTGCATATTCTATGTAAGATATATCGATGATATATTCTTTGTATACACAGGCAGTGATGACAAACTTACCCAATTCCTCATGACCCTAAACACAGTACACAACTACATAGATGAAAACAGAAAACTATAAATGACACTACACACTAAAATCACAGACACCCACAACTATCTACACTTTAAGTCTTCAGGTTTTGAATTAGTTGTACTTCTCCTACACTGGTTGCCAACCAAGGCTAAAGAGAACAGTCTGTTCTATTTAACCAATAGCTTAGGGTTAGAGAATGAAGAGATGGATTTATACCCTTTCGCAAGGGCATTTGTGCATAAATGAATGCAACAAAGCTAATAGGAAATCACTCAATTTCCCATTCTGAGCATGATCACACACACACACACACACACACTTTCCTTTTGTATATAAATTTTAAAAAGTATCAGAAACTAATGTCAAGAGATGGTACTCGAAAAAACTGATGCATGGAGACACAACAACAAAAAGAAGCATACATGCCCCAAAACACAGCCGTATCAAACCACAAAAAAAATCTCTGAAAATGACTTATGAAAGATGAAAACAATTGGAAGATGTTGGACAAGTTTTGTTTTAAGTCTCTGTAGAAAACAAGGAAAATAGTTTGGGACATAAAAGAAAAATTGACCAAATGACCAAATATACTATATATATATATATATATATATATAATATATATATATAATAAAGTAAATGAACAAACAATTCAACAATTATTTTAAGACATTTTTTATGTTTATACATTCATTTTTATAGATATTTACTTAAATATTTGCATCTATAAAAAAAAAAGAATGTTTGAAGATAAAAATGTCTTTATATATATATATATATATATATATATATATATATTAGTCATCCACAGATGAACTGTTTTGCTGTATCACAGTTTATCAGTGTGGTTAGGCAGGTGATTCCTTCAAGCCAGTATTGAAACCTGATCAATTTGACATCACTTGGAGGCTCTCACTCCTAGGCCATCACGCTAGGAAGGGAGAAATTTTAACATTATATACAAGATATATGCATTACCAGCTACCAAGGTCTCAGTTCATAGCAAAGCACTTAGTATTAATCATCAGCAGCAGCCAAAAAGTTCTCTTCCATGAGTGTACACACACACACATATATATATATATATATATATATATATATATATATATATATATATATATATATATATATAATAGTAGTTGTAGTAAACCAAAATATCCAAAAATTACCTCTCATATGGGGTATAAAACTAACGAAAACTTTATCAGTCTTATTCAACTCTGGTATTCAGACTGAGTTTGTGTCAGAATTAGAACATTAACTTTGACAGCATTCGAAAAATTGATACAGAAATTATCCATTTCAATGTTTTAGTCAGACAAAAGGCACTAGCCAGTGGTCAGGGGAGAGTGGAAGGTATTAGTTTTAAAGGGAAGAGGTTTGGCACAAGAGAGGAGTTCCAGCTATGACAGTCCAAAGAGCAGTGAAACAAAGACTTAAAAATTAAATTGTATGTGAAACCTGTGAGGCACCTTGTTACTCCAGGACAGAAAGAAGGTTAGAGAGGGTGAAGATCATCTTGAATAAGTTGGAAAATGATCCTGGAATAATAAATATATATAGTTTAACTTCATTTCAAGCCTTCGTGAGCTTCTGATCCTTAGCTACAATTAATTAATGATGATGACAAACATGTCATTTTCATTTATGAACAATTTCATTGCAATTCTTCTGTTAAGCTTGGAGAGTAATTATACATTCTTATTGCTCAAAGTAGAGTCCAATAGTGTTTATAAAAACCCTGGAGAATTCCAGCAAGATATCTTTAATCATTTGTATGATACAATGTTACAGGACTTAATCTAACAATCGGACAATTTTGCTGTTACACACACACACACACATATATAATTCAAAATGTAGGTGTAACCAACAGACTACCTGTCAAAATAACTTAAAAAAGAAGTGGAAGAGGATATTATTTGCAAAAACCAAGAAAACTCTACTCAAGGAAAAAAAAATCGAACTACAAAGAGAGAAAAGACCAAAAGTCAAACACGTACCTCAGCAGTAAATAACAATGCTCAATGTGTAGGTTATCCAGACAGAGCAAAAAAACACTTCACAATATCAAACCATAACAATGCCATGTAGATTCCTTTGGCTATAGCATCTATATCTGCAAATTTTAAATGTATGTACAACAAAGATTGTGTTTTGAATTACCCCCTCAGGAAAAAAAAAAAAAAATTTATTTCTGGATAACACTGAAGTCATTGTAAGTAAAGAACTCAATGTTAATATACATTTTGATACATATGTGTGTGGACACTGAGGTCAGTACCAAGTGATGACAGTCTGTTTCATCCTTCAATGAACTCTTCAGGTCATGTGTTTTATTCTGTGTTTTGGCTTAACTATTTATAAGTGATCAATGTTGCATTATGGGTAGTAAGATCTATTGCATTACCCTGATGGCCATTTGGTGGACAATAATGGTTGTTTGAAATTATTCTAGAGGCTTTAGAGTAGAAATAACTATGGATCTCAATGCAGTTGTTTGTCGCTATCTTATGTTGTTTAACTTTTTACTCATTATTTAGTATTTATTATTATTATTACAGGTGTTTGTGCATTCATAAAATTGTTGATTTTTCTTTCTATAGTTTTGCTTTTTTTTTTTTTTTTTTTGTAGACATTTGTGGGATGTTTTCCATTCATACTGTGAAAACTCTGACAGACTCAGTTATAAACAGGTAAGTCATGCAAATATTCACTTACACACACACACACACAGCAATGACCAATATAATGTATCAATTTAACTGCCCAGCATAAGACTGTTTCTTGCCATAAATCAATCATCAGTTATATAACTACCTCCTTGAGCAGATACATCACACATCACTTAACTGACGAAAGTACTATAAAAAGGCATTTAGCCACCCACAGTCTACAAAAACCCATAAGAAAAATTCTGATTGATAACACAATTATCCTTTATAAATCCTGTAACCAAAAATACCTCATTGTCAGAGAAGCACTCTACATAAAACATCCAGTACCCAGTATTAATCTCACCTTATTTAGCACTGGAAAGTGCTTGGGACAATAGACACTCAGATAATTTTTAAAATCCTTACTCCACCAAACGGAAAAAATTAAGATTAGAAAAACTCAATAAAAAATTGATCAAATTTTTCTTGCTTGTGATATTCTGTGAAACCTGTTTGAAAAAAAAAGTTTGCTGCCCAAATACAAGAAAAAGGAAATTACTGGAAAGTAATTGAAACTCACCTGAGGCGAGCTGAATGTGTAATGCTCCTCATGCCAATGACACTTTCACCGAGCTTCTCTACAGCATATGACTTCATTGAATTTTGATGTGTTCCTCTCAAATTTATATTTAAACTGGGGTCATCAGGAGAGAATGTACACCGTTTCGGGGCCTTCCTCTCAACGGTTTCAGTTGCACACTGGCCCCTCGCACTGATGTGAGGCCCCATTATAACGATATACAAGTGTTGTAGATAAACTAGTTCAAATGTGTAACGGCGAAATTAAATTTACGAAAATTCCGAAAAACAGCAAACCTTGCATCCTTAGAATGCAATGCGAACCTCATTATGCATTCACGATCAGTCATGTCATGCCGTCATGTTCGCTGAAACACTCCACAGAGTATTTTGTTTTTTCCATATCCACATAGAACTATTCTCAGTTACTTCTATTAGGCGTTTTATACTTTTGGCCCTATTACGCCCTTTGATTCCAATTGTGTTTTAAGGTATGCTATCTTTATGGGTTAAAGTGATCAATATCATGGATAGTGTATGTAAATATAAAAGTGGAGACACATATATATACACACACACTCACACACACACACACACACACACACACACACACAGATATATATGTGTATGTGTTTTAAGTGGGTTTTAAGTTAGAACATTAGTGTTCAAATCTCACCCAGGATGATTTATCAAGATGATGACTTTTTGATATTGGTCAAGGGAGATAACTCCAGCTCATGTTCCACTATTGGAAAACCATACCAGGAGTTGAAGAAAGTGTTGTGAATGAAACTGGGTGGATAAGACTGTTTGGAAGCTGTCAATGGTTGTGTAAGCACAGTCACACCGGGTTATTCACTATCTCCTAGAAACTAATCTCTGCTTAGTTGCAGTGTAAACTGCATGTTGGCTCTGTGGGTGTTGAATAAATATAAATATACCTGAGCAGGTGTTTACATCTTCTACTCCAACAGCTTCTCTTGCACCTCCCATCAGTGGAACTCCCTTTTTATCACTTGCTTCCATGATAGCTATAATCTTCAAATATTCAAATGTAATGTCAATCGACATCTTCTGATGCCTTGACCTTGATCCCTCTCCTTCTCTTTATCCTTTTCCCAAACACTCCTCTTTACTCTTACTTTCACTCTCTGTAACCCCTTTGCATGCCAGTGGCACTCCTGCCTTGCTTGGGGTGATTTGCTTAAAAAAAAAAAAATCTTGTAAGGGCTGACAGGTTTAAACATATACGTGAGACAGGCTTGAGAGAAACCCCAACAAAATGTTGGCTGTTTGACCACTGAATTAGCCTGCTTTATTTGCTTTGGCAACATTTCTGTGAGCTGGCCTGCCTCTTGTTGCCTGGCTACACATGCATTGGCATGCCTCTTGGTACCTGGTTCCATCTGCATTACCTCACTTTTTGGTGCCAGCATTCCATGTATCATGCACCTGAAGATGCCTCAATAATGTACTACGTAAAATTGGATCAATATCACATTGAAGCTCCAAATATTCTTTCATGACATAACAAAATGTATTTTCAATTTTTTTAATTTATATTTTAAAGGCTTGTGAAGCATTTCACTATGCAACAGGACAACTCCTTGATATTGCCCAGGTTGAAAGTGTAGCAAATGGGTCAGACACAATTGGCTTCACCACATTTTGTTGTCTTGTCATGGAAGCTAAAAGTCAGTTGGTAAGTTAAGCAAATTTTCTCTTTACATTATTTTTGCAAAATCTTCCTTCCATGTTTGCTTCTTTTCCTTATTTTGCAGTTTTAAAAAAAAAAAAAAAGTAAAAGTGTGTGTGCGGGTAACATTTTTGTTTGGGTGTAGCTTCTTTCTTTTTTTTCCTTTTTTTTTTTTTTTTTTCTTTTTTCTCCCCTTTTTCTTTTCTTTTTTCTTTTCTTTTTTCTTTTCTTCCCTTTTCTTTTCTTTTTTCTTTTCTTCCCTTTTCTTTTCTTTTTCTTTTCTTCCCTTTTCTTTTCTTTTTCTTTTCTTCCCTTTTCTTTTCTTTTTTCTTTTCTTTTCTTCCCTTCTCTTTTCTTCCCTTCTCTTTTCTTCCCTTCTCTTTTCTTCCCTTCTCTTTTCTTCCCTTCTCTTTTCTTCCCTTCTCTTTTCTTCCCTTCTCTTTTCTTCCCTTCTCTTTTCTTTTCTTTTCTTTGTTTCTCTTCTCTTTTCTTTTCTTTTCTTTTCTTTGTTTCTCTTCTCTTCTCTTTCTTTTCTTCTCTTTTCTTCTCTTTGCTTTTCTTCTCTTTTCTTCTCTTTGCTTCTCTTCTCTTTTCTTCTCTTTGCTTCTGTTCTCTTTTCTTCTCTTTGCTTCTGTTCTCTTTGCTTCTCTTTGCTTCTCTTCTCTTTTCTTCTCTTTGCTTCTCTTCTCTTTGCTTCTCTTCTCTTTGCTTCTCTTCTCTTTGCTTCTCTTTTCTTTGCCTCTCTTTTCTTTGCCTCTCTTTTCTTTGCCTCTCTTCTCTTTTCTTTGCTTCTCTTTTCTTCTCTTCTCTTTGCTTCTCTTCTCTTCTCTTTTCTTCTCTTTTCTTCTCTTTTCTTCTCTTCTCTTTTCTTCTCTTCTCTTTTCTTCTCTTCTCTTTGCTTCTCTTCTCTTTGCTTCTCTTCTCTTTGCTTCTCTTCTCTTTGCTTCTCTTTTCTTCCCTTCTCTTTTCTTTGCTTCTCTTTTCTTTTCTTTTCTTTTCTTTGTTTCTTTTTCTTTCTCTTTTTTCTTTCTCTTCTCTTTTTCTTTTCTTCTCTTTGCTTCTCTTCTCTTTTTTCTTTGCTTCTCTTCTCTTTTTTCTTTGCTTCTCTTCTCTTTTTTCTTTGCTTCTCTTCTCTTTTTTCTTTTCTTTGCTTCTCTTCTCTTTTTTCTTTGCTTCTCTTCTCTTTTTTTTTCTTTTCTCTTTGCTTCTCTTTTCTTTTCTTCTCTTTGCTTCTCTTCTCTTTTCTTCTCTTTCTTCTTCTCTTTTCTTCTCTTCTTCTCTTCTCTTTTTCTTCTCTTTGCTTCTCTTCTCTCTTTGCTTCTCTTTTCTTTGCTTCTCTTTTTTTCTTTCTCTTTTCTTTGCTTCTCTTTTTTTTTTCTCTTTTCTTCTCTTTGCTTCTCTTCTCTTTGCCTCTCTTCTCTTTTCTTTCTTCTCTTTTCTCTGCTTCTCTTTTCTTTCTTTGCTTCTCTTCTTTTTCTTCTCTTTCTTCTCTTTCTTTTCTTTTCTTTGCTTCTCTTCTCTTTTTTCTTTGCTTCTCTTCTCTTTTCTTCTCTTTTTCTCTTTCTTTTCTTTCTTTTTCTCTTCTCTTTTTTTCTTCTTTTTCTTTGCTTCTCTTTTCTTCTTTTCTTCTTTTCTTCTCTTTTCTTCTCTTTTTTCTCTTTTCTTTTCTTCTCTTCTCTTTTCTTTTTTCTTTCTCTTTTCTTCTCTTTCTCTTTTTTTTCTTTGCTTCTCTTTTCTTTCTTCTCTTTTTTCTTTTCTCTTTTCTTCTCTTTTCTTTTTCTCTTTGCTTCTCTTTTCTTTTCTTCTCTTTTCTTTTCTTCTTTTCTTTTCTTTTTTCTTTTCTTTGCTTCTCTTTTCTTTTTTTTTCTTTGCTTCTCTTTTCCTTTTTTCTTTTCTTTGCTTCTCTTTTCTTTTTTTCTTTTCTTTGCTTCTCTTTTCTTTTTTCTTTTCTTTGCTTCTCTTTTCTTTTTTCTTTTCTTTGCTTCTCTTTTCTTTTTTCTTTTCTTTGCTTCTCTTTTCTTTTTTCTTTGCTTCTCTTTTCTTTTTTCTTTGCTTCTCTTTTCTTTTTTTCTTTGCTTCTCTTTTCTTTTTTTCTTTTCTTTGCTTCTCTTTTCTTTTTTTCTTTTCTTTGCTTCTCTTTTCTTTTTTTCTTTTCTTTGCTTTTCTTTTTTCTTTGCTTCTCTTTTTTTCTTTTTTCTTTGCTTCTCTTCTCTTTTTTTTCTTTTCTCTTTGCTTCTCTTCTCTTTGCTTTTTGCATATGGCTGTCTTTTGTTTCCTTGTCTCTTCCTCCATTAATTTCTGTTTGTTATTTAATTTCAGGCCCTATGCTACCCTTCACTTCGACAACTGCTGACCAACACTCTTTTAATTTTGCTTTCCATTACAAAAACAGTTCCAGACTGGCTTGGTTGGATGTTTGGTAAGTCATTTTTAGTGTTTATGCCTTTCATAATCTTGTCTTGCTGATAAAATGGTTTTAGATTATAGTTGTTCTTGAAATTTATCTAAATTTGTTTGTATTCTAAAATATGAAACATTTTAATTTTACATTCATCCACCATAAAGAATAGAACTTGTTTGACTTTACATTAGGCTAATTAATCCTTAAAAAGAAAATTACATGATGAATATGAAAGATTGGTACTGATTCTGTTACGCCTTTGTGCAAATCAATTTAAACAACTGCTTTAGTTTCCTTTCTTTCACCATGTGGTCAGTTTTAGACCCACTAGAGTGACAGGGTGTAATTGATTTCTATTTTTTTCTTCAGATTGTCATTTTCAGTGGTGTGCAATAATATGAATCTATTTTCAGAGTGTATACTGAAATTTGTTTGGCCTTAAAAAAAATATTGCGTTGTCCATCTTTTATCATGCCCAAACACTTTTCTCTCAACTGTCAATTAGTTGTCCTATTGCCATTGTCTTACTCAAGGAAGCATACAAAAACTGTAACACTACATGAACACACTGGTAGTGAGCAAATCAAAGTATTTTAGAGTGGCCTGGAAACTCTCCTGATTTAAATCCAATTGAGAATCTGTGGTCAATCTGCAAGGAACAACTTTGTGGAATGGATATACAAAGTACTAAAATGTGCACTGGGTCATGTTTCATTGGAAAAATATGAAAAAAAAGTAAATAATAATGGAATTATTTGTTTTGTTTCAATTAGTTTGCACCTGGGTGTAAGTACTTACAAGCAACAGAATTCAGATGAAAGAAAGATAAGTCAAAAACTTAATGACAATGTTTTATCTAATTCACACAACTTAACACTGTTAGTACTACCAAGTATAAAGAAGCAATAGAAATAAGAAAAGACAGATGAGTCAGAAATTAATAATGCTTCATCAAAGAAATTCACACAGCCTAAGACTTCGTTTCTCATGGCTATACATAATAATAAATAGGACAACTACTGATTTTAGAATTATTCAGGGAAACTAGTAGTAAACCTAGTTAACATGACATTTTACAAAATTTTCACCCAATACAAGGCCAAACAGCCACTCAAGGTAGTTCTACTGAATGGGCTTTTGTTGAATAGTGTTGTGTCCTTAAATAGGTTACAAACACAAAGGTGGTACTCAAGTGAAGGAACAGCAACACGCACATAGATGAAAGAAGAGAGGTTTATTGTAAAAGAGAATACACTACTGAAAGACAGGGAATCGGGTGACAGGCTAGTAATTTCTGAGGCAAGCTCCCAGATATGTCCTGTGCTCACCATATATATAGCTACTGATATAGTCAGTTCACATAGGCGATATGGAGTGTGGGACATTCCATTACAACAAATAGATGTAAGAGAAGGAACTAAATGCAGATTACAAGGATATGTGGGGAAAAGGTAATGGTTGACTATAGACCTGAAGTGGTTATGATTGTAAGGAGAGACAAAGTATCCTTTCAGGAGTCTGTTCTACAATATAGTGTTTCTTAGGAAGAAGCTGTTTAAGTGAAACTTCTTTTTGCCACTGGATTATAAGTAAATACAACAATTTGACCTTGTCGAGGACTGAACTGGTGGAGCTAAGAAATGTAGTTTGTCTTGAACATTTGTCATAGAAATGGCGACAGAGTAAGGATAAACATGCAACTTTTTGTGTGTGAAGAAAGGAGGTGTAGGGTGGGAAATCATTGCTCACAAGGCTATGTAGACAATTTTGGACTTGGTCAGAGCTGGAAAGTGTAGTTTGGGCAGTTACAGCAGGTTGTTTTATCACTTTTTTTTTTTTTCTTTTAAAAATCTTTTTACACTTGATGTGTAAAACTGGGAGTTTGATGTCATAAGTATTAACACCAAAGTTTAGATTCCTAGCTTTTACCAATTTTTGAGCATTTAGTTTTAAAAATCATCTGAAAAAAATGTACAGAAATGCCTAATTTCTGCAGGTTTTTGCTTACAAACTGACTTCAGAATTTTGCAATTTCAAGAATAAATCCAAATAAAGTTGACTTCTTTTGTATTAGATCCATTGAATGGAAAATATATTCAAACTAGAATTCTGATTATGGATCACCATAAGCAAAATAAGCCTATTTTTTTTTTTATTATATTTAAGTAAAATCTGTGAAAGATTACAAAAAAGGCTACTCAATGAATAAGATTTGTTAGATCATAATTAATAAAAGCAAAAAATAGATAAAAGTGTATATAACACCATAATATGGCTGGGGATCAAATTATATGACAAAATGTTTTAAATTGTATTGTTTATTGAAAATCACACTAAAACTACAGTACTGTATAACATATTACATCATAATATAGCTAAATTGTTCAGTATAATTTGCAATAAATGAAAGTCTTATTTTCATGGCACAATGATTTAGTAATGTGCTTGTGTCATGTGTATTGTCTATATACAATTTGTAAAGCATCATTTAATTATAAATATAAGGCTGTCCTATAAAGCTTTCACTGATCACCTGAAATTCCAATGCTATGATTTTGAACCTAAAGTTAATCTTTAAGCTCATTTCCTCAAAAAAAACAATGATTTCGAAGAATATATTTTGTATCATTATTTATAATGTCGAACCACAACTTTCAAATTTAGTGCAATATCATGGTTACAAAATCAACCTGCCCTAATATGACAGTAATACTCCATGACTAATATTGTGTTAAGATCAGACATAAAGAAGTTCAATTTAAAAAAAAAAAAAAACTATTTTCATGAATCTCTTGTGCAAATTTTAAAGGCTGAATTTTTCCTTATTTTCAGGAAGGACACCGGCTTTAAGATCTGAAAGAGTTGAGGATTGTTCGGATTTTTATCTTGGTGGCAACCACAGTACTCAAAATTGGAAAGAAAATATTGCTGTTCCTCTTCTCAGGTGAATTTTTTTGTTCATTTCAACATATTTATGGTCAATGCACCTTTTGCATTATATAAATCATTTGTGTTCTCATCTTACAAGCCCTCAATAGTAAGATTCTGTAGATAAAAAAAGTAACAAAAACATTCCATAAGGGTTAAGAAATTCCAGATATAAAAGATTCGGGAACACTCTTGAATTCCTGACATCTACAGGTTACACATGCATGTAGATTAAATAAAGGCTTAAGTTGGGATTCCCTGAAGGTTACACCCAGATTGTCAAACTCCTGAACTGGAGAGTACAATGGCCGACATGTGTTGATAACATGAGGACAATAGTGTAAGTAATAACACTAAACTAGCCCCTTAGTTACATTAAGGGGATAGTTTATTATCAATTGAGGCATGGTGAAATAATAGATAGTGGCCTGGATTTGAGGAATCAAAGCAGAGTTTGTTAAAATTCACCTATATGCAAATAGCCTTGAGAAAGGTATGAATCCATCTTTTCTCTCTCCAACTATGTTTAAAGAGCAGGCCAAGTAACCAGTCTAAGAACAACAATTCTGTATATTTTCATTTCATTACCATATTTTTGATCAAGCCTCATATATATATATATATATATATATATATATATATATATATATATATATATAGAGTGTGTGTGTGTTTTTAAAAATTTACAGCACTTTCCTTGATGGATTCCATTTTAACATCAAGAAGGATCATTATAAAAAGAAATAGACACAATATATTTATGTTATTCAATGAAACACATATATAGTGGGCATGTGACTAAGTGGTTAGAACATACATATTCTGACCATAAGACTCTGGTTCAAATCTCACCATAGTCGATTTGTCAAGAAGGAGACTTCCTGATGTTATAGGACTGGTCGATCTCAGTGTGCGGCATCTTTAGAAAGTGCCTGAAAACCATATGACAGATTGACCCATCCTTGTGTGTGAAATTGGGTAGATGGGACCCTTGTGGTGGGGCATCGATAGCTGTGCTAGCATGAAGTCACAAGTCATCATGGTCGAGGTCTTCAGTGTGCTGGCCTTGTTCAAATTGTAACACACTCTTTCCCAGAAACTGTAATTAGTATAGTTGGAGTATAAACAACAGGAGGGCTCTGTGGATGTTGAATAAACACAAATGCAGCTGAGCAAGTGTCTGCAATAGGGATTGGCTAGCCACCCTAGTAGACAGGTCTCATATATATATATATATATATATATATATATATATATATATATATATATATATATATATATATGAAGAAATAAGTTTTAAGGTGTGCTATATTTATGAGTTAAAGTGCTCAATATCAGAAATAGAGTATATGTAAATATAAATATAAAAGTGAACATTGAAGTCAACACTCAGAGGCGACAGGCTGTTTCATGTTAGATGCAATTATCAGGCTGCGAGTGTTGGAGATATATATATATATATATATATATATATATAATTTAGAATTTAATTTCTGGTAAGATTGTTATTGGTAAACTTTTCTCATTGTTTTTGTTCCAGACAACACAACTGCACTTACGTGTCTCCTCAGTTGGAAGAATGGAACTGGAAAACCATCTCAAAGAATCATGCTCAGGTGGAGAGATGCCAACTCTTGCTCTATGTGATTCCAGCTGATATACGGGCACTCACAGACATGATCCAGGTAATATTTTTTTATAAAAGCTGCAATGGATAATTTGTATTGAAATTTTCACCAGAAACCAAGGAAATTGTATATATTTTTTAAAAAATTTTTTTCACTGTATCATTCTTTTTCCTATAAGATGTGTGTGTGTGTGTGTGTGTATATATATATATATATATATATATATATATAGGGAAGAGGTTATAGTAGTTCCAATGAGAGAAAAATTAAAAAAAGGCCGCAAACATTTTTGGTTGTAATGTGGATTTTTTTTTTAAAAAATATATTATGCTTTATTTTCCATGATTTTGAAAAATTATAGAAAATAAAGCATAATATATTTAAAAAAGAAAACATCCACATTGCAATGAAGAACGTTTGTGATCTCTTTTTTTTATTACCAATTTCTCACTGGTAGGGATAATTCCAAAGTGGATATTAATCTAAGGAAAGCTCAATATAAACTACAGAGGATTATAATAATAACAATAATAATAATAACAATTTGTAGTTGGAGCCCTAGGACTGGTTGGAAAAGATTGCAGTAGACTAATTGAAGAGATTCCTGGAAGTCCATGCCTCAAGGAGATACAAAAATTGTTCTGACAAGTACAGCCCACACCTTACGAAGGGCTTTATCTATGTAATTTAATTTTTTTTTTTTTTTTGTCAGTGGAAAATGTCATGATGTCATTTCTAACCGTAGGTCCCTGGGCGGGACCAGGAAAGAAATGTGTAAACGCCAGAAATCAAAGAAAATAAAAACAATAATAATAATAACAATAGTAATAACAATAACCCGACATGACAGAGTGGGCCAATATCTGCACTGGAAAATCTGCAACTTCTACGGGAAGGAAACTGGAAGAAACTGGTATGAACACCACCCAGACCCGGTTACGGAGATAGGACCTGTTACAATCCTATGGGATTACACAATACACACTGACAGAACAATCAAGGCCAACCGACCAGATATTGTTATTAAAGACCACAAACAAAAACGGTGCCTCCTTATTGACATGGCAGTCCCTGCTGACTGCAATGTATCTTTGAAGATATTCAAAAAGTTGTCAAAATACAAGGACCTTGAAATAGAAATCTCGAAAATGTAGCATATGGGAACATCAACAATCCCTGTTGTAGTTGGAGCCCTAGGACTGGTTGGAAAAGATTGCAGTAGACTAATTGAAGGGATTCCTGGAAGCCCATGCCTCAAGGAGATACAAAAAATTGTTCTGACAAGTACAGCCCACACCTTACCAAGGGATTTTATCTATGTAATTTAATTTTTTTTTTTTTTTTTTTTTATCTTTTTATTTATTTATTTTTTTTTTTTTTTTTTTTTTTTTGTCAGTGGAAAGTGTCATGATGCCATTTCTAACCTTAGGTCCCTGGGCGGGACACAGAAAGAAATGTATAAACGCCAGAAATCAAAGAAAATAATAATAATAACAATAATAATAACTTCTTTTAGTAAATGGAGACAAGATTGACAGGGAGAAGTGAAATCAAGAAGGAAGTAGAAGAAGAAAAGTGGCTGATGGTTACTTTCTTTTTAAAAAAGTGATATAAAGAGAGGGGAAGGGAAGAAGGAAGAGATGAATGGATAGTAGTAAGCCTAAAATAGACTGACCTGGCCAAGAAGCTTTTCCTTAAAGTGTAGAAATTTGTACATCAGGTTATACATCAAACTGACCAACATGCAGGACAAATGAAAACAATTCCAGATTAGTTAGTCTAATAAAACAGCCCTTAATACAAATAATAAATAAAAATAAAAATTACAATAATGATAATAATATCAAACATAAATGAAGGGATTTTAAATACAGATAAATAATAAAAAAGTAAAAATAATAATACAAAAGATGTTAATTTAGGATTATAAATGTTGTATATATTGGCAGGACAGTCATAGATCCAACTACATATAAAGAAACATGGAAAAAAAACACAAGACCATGTGATACGCAAAATAAACACACATACACATGAATATATGTACACTCATATGTGCTATATCACCCATACAAAATGAATCAATACTTTCTTTCCCCCTCTTTGCTTTCTTTTTTCGTCTCTTTGCTTTCTTTTCTTTTTTCGTCTCTTTGCTTTCTTTTCTTTTTTCGTCTCTTTTCTTTTTTCGTCTCTTTGCTTTCTTTTCTTTTTTCCTCTCTTTGCTTTTTTTCTTTTTTTCTTTGTTTTCTTTTTTTTCTCTTTGCTTTTCTTTTTTGTCTTTTTTTTTCTTTTTTCTTTTTTTTTCGTCTTTCTTTTTTTTTCTTTTTTCTTTGCTTTCTTTTTTTTTCGTCTCTTTTGCTTTCTTTTTCTTTTTTTTCTTTTTTTCTTTCTCTCTTTTTCTTTTTTTCTTTTTTTTTTCGTCTCTTTTTTTTTTTTCTTTTTTTTTTCGTCTCTTTTCTTTTTCTCTCTCTTTTCTTTTTCGTCTCTTTCTTTTTTTTCTTTTTCTTTTTCTTTTTTCTCTTTCTTTTTTTTCTTTCTTTCTTTCTTTTTTTTCTTTCTTTTCGTCTCTTTTCTTTCTTTTCTTTTTTCGTCTTTTTTTTCTTTTTTTGTTTTTTTTTCTTTTTTTTTCTCTTTTCTTTTTTTTCGTCTCTTTTTTTCTTTTCTTTTCTTTTTTTCGTCTCTTTTCTTTTTCGTCTCTTTCTCTCTTTTTCGTCTTTTTTTTTTTTTTCGTCTCTTTTTTTTTTTTCGTCTCTTTGCTTTTTTTTTTCGTTCTTTCTTTTTTTTCGTCTTTTGCTTTTTTTTTTTTTCTTTCTTTTTTTCTCTCTCTTTTTTTCGTCTCTTTTCTTTCTTTTCTTTTCTTTTTTCTCTTTTTTTTTTTTCGTCTCTTTGCTTTTTTCGTCTCTTTGCTTTTTTTCTTTTTTTTCTTTCTTTTTTTTTCTTTCTTTCTTTTTTTCCTCTCTTTTTCTTTTTCGTCTCTTTTGCTTTCTTTTTTTTTCGTCTCTTTTCTTTTTTCTCGTCTCTTTTTTTTTTCGTCTCTTTTCTTTCTTTTTTTTTCGTCTCTTTTTCGTCTCTTTTCTTTTTCTCTTTTGCTTTTTTTTCGTCTCTTTTTTTCTCTCTCTTTCTTTTCTTTTTTCGTCTCTTTTTTCGTCTCTTTTTCTTTTTTCGTCTCTTTTGCTTTTTTTCTTCTTTCTTTTTCGTCTCTTTGCTTTTTTCGTTCTTTTTTTTTGCTTTTTTCTCTTTCTTTTTTTTTTTTTCTCTTTGCTTTTTTTTCTTTTTCTTTTTTTCGTCTCTTTTCTTTTTTCGTCTCTTTTCTTTTTTCGTCTCTTTTCTTTTTTCGTCTCTTTGCTTTCTTTTCCCTCTTGTATCTATTTATAGTTTACTGAGGACTTTTCAGTACCCCATCATAGTTCTGAAAAATCTTTCATTTTAAGTGCCATTCTGTGTGTTTCTCTAATTTAATATTTTGATGCTTCAGAATTTCATTTTTTTTCTTTCTCCAGGCAGCCTATTACATTGGTCAGGGATGTCGCATTGTACTGTGTGTCCAAATGATGCCAGAGGATAACCTTCAGGATGAAGAGGTAAGGCGTGTATATATCTGTCCTGGATTCCATCTCACAATCAAAAAATAAAGTACCATATTTCTATACCTATGACTTGATATACTATCAATAAAATAATCAAAATTAATATTTCTTTCATATCAAATAAGATGTTTTAAAATACATTCCTTTAGTTCAAGGGTTTCCCAAACTTTTCTGGATCATTACCCACTTTCACATGGGTAAATTTCTCACCTCCCACCTGTATAGTATTTAAAAGCATACCAAAATTGTTTGGTAAAAGTTTGTTACTGGTTCATAAACACACTTTATAATGTAGAAAAAGAAAAAGAATACCAAAGGGAGGTAATAAATAATACTGACTCATGGAAACTGCTACTGCTGCTATTACTGTGTTAAAGAATAGATGAAAGCAAACTTAACAATTAGAAACTATAATTTAATTTTGGTCAAGGTTAGTTTTATGGTTAGTTGCAAGTGCTGAGAAAAAATTGAATGATTGTAATTATAAAATTAAAAAGAATGTACATGACTAACTACTAATTCCCTTATCTGATTTATATCCGAAAAAATATTTCATCTGAAGAATTATTTGAATGTTAATGACCCTTCTCAAAACTATAGCAAGTATTAAAATATTCCTTGTTTTTGGGGATATTTATATCTTATCTATGGATGTGACCCATTTATTCCCAATTGGCCTTCATTTTTTTATTTATACATACAGGTTCTTTTCATATCTCCTGAATTTTGTTTTTCAGGTAGCATATGTTGAAATAATATTTTAATACTCAAAATCCTATATCATCCAACAAAATTTCCAGTCATCCAACATTTTCTGTTTAGTTACACATCACCCACCCAACAGTTAAAATCGAACCACTGTGTTGGGAAACCCTTCTTGAGTGGAATAGATTAAATAAAGGGTTCAGTTAGAGATTTTCCAAAGGTTACCAAGATGGACAGACAACTAAAAGCTGGAGAATACAACATCTGAAATGTTGCAATAATACCAATCAAAACTTATCTGACTCTAAAAAATATGGTATAACGCTATGATTGTGACACCTTGTGACATTTTATGCTTTATGACCAGTGACGAGTGTGTAAGATGTAGTCTTCAAAGTCATCACTCACTTGACTAAAGAATAAAAAAATGTAAACTTTTGGGGAACAAGTGACAACAAAACTGGAAATTGAGGATTTCCAGTTATAAGTCTATATTAACAGTCACAGTTTGGATAATGTTCTGAGCTGCTGATAATGGGGACAGATTGTCTGTCTGGTAGTTCCAATGTTGTATGTCATGATTGTTAAATTGGCAAAGATTGGTAGGAGGAAGAGTTGAAGGGAAGAGCTGATCTCTTAGACTGTCATGTCTCAAATGAAATCTATTTATCTACCAACATAGATGATACAAGTGAATTACTGAATAAACCATCTAAATATGTTGGAAACAGGGTTATGTCCTTAATCCTTGCTATATTGTTTACTTTTCATCTTTTATTTGCTTGTGAGCTCGCAATG